TGGCTATAAATGGGCTGCGACGCGGCCGGCAGAACGCGGTGACAGCCACACACCCCGAGGTCTCCAAGATGAGCTACACTTTGGACTCGCTGGGCAACCCGTCCGCCTACCGGCGGGTAACCGAGACCCGCTCCGGCTTCAGCCGCCTTAGCGGCTCCCCGTCCAGCGGCTTCCGCTCGCAGTCATGGTCCCGAAGCTCGCCCAGCACCGTGTCCTCCTCCTACAAGCGCAGCGCGCTGGGGCCGCGCCTCACCTACAGCTCTGCCATGCTCAGCTCCGCCGAGAGCAGCCTCGACTTCAGCCAATCCTCGTCCCTGCTCAACGGCGTCTCCGCGACGGGCGGCGACTACAAGCTGTCCCGCTCCAACGAGAAGGAGCAGCTGCAGGGGCTGAACGACCGCTTCGCGGGCTACATCGAGAAGGTGCACTACCTGGAGCAGCAGAACAAGGAGATCGAGGCGGAGATCCAGGCGCTGCGGCAGAAGCAGGCTTCGCACGCCCAGCTGGGCGACGCCTACGACCAGGAGATCCGTGAGCTGCGAGCCACACTCGAGATGGTGAATCACGAGAAGGCTCAGGTGCAGCTGGACTCGGACCACCTGGAGGAAGACATCCACCGGCTCAAGGAACGCTTCGAGGAGGAAGCACGGCTGCGCGACGACACCGAGGCGGCCATCCGAGCGCTGCGCAAAGACATCGAGGAGGCGTCGCTGGTGAAGGTGGAGCTGGACAAGAAGGTGCAGTCGCTGCAGGACGAGGTGGCCTTCCTGCGGAGCAATCACGAGGAAGAAGTGGCCGACCTGCTGGCCCAGATCCAGGCGTCACACATCACCGTGGAGCGCAAAGACTACCTGAAGACAGACATCTCGTCGGCGCTGAAGGAAATCCGCTCCCAGCTCGAGTGCCACTCCGACCAGAACATGCACCAGGCAGAAGAGTGGTTCAAGTGTCGCTACGCCAAGCTCACCGAGGCGGCCGAGCAGAACAAGGAGGCCATCCGCTCCGCCAAGGAAGAGATTGCCGAGTACCGGCGCCAGCTGCAGTCCAAGAGCATCGAGCTCGAGTCGGTGCGCGGCACCAAGGAGTCCCTGGAGCGGCAGCTCAGCGACATCGAGGAGCGCCACAACCACGACCTCAGCAGCTACCAGGTAGGAACCGCGGCTGCGCGTCCAGCCTGCGCCAGCGCCAGCGCCGCGCGCCCCCGACACTCGGGCACGCGCCCCCACGCGCTCTCCGCCCGCTCCCTGGTGACTGCTGGCCAGCGCTCGCGCACCCAAGTTGGAGGCGCAAAGCGTCCGCGCTCCTACCCACCACTTCCACACTCCACCCCGCCCACCATCCCCAGCTTCTGAGAGCACTGACCTCTTTTCAAAACGTGCTTCTTGTCCTCGGCAGTTCTAGTTTTTGCACGCTTGCACATTTAAAATAGGAGGAATGCATTCGGGTGGTTGACAAAGCAGCAACTTTCAGATAACTTCTGCAGAAACGCATGAATTCTCTGCTTTTCCTGCATGATCGGGGGAACTCTGCAAATTTGCTTCAGCCCAAATGGCTCAGATGGGAAGGGCCAGGTCAGGGGTGGGGTTTCCCAATGCATGTTTACTCCCTGCCGAATGTATTCTAGATCCACTGGGCTCAGTGAATGATGTGCTCAGGAAATGTCTTATTGATCCTATTTGTTTGTGTATTTGAGAATCCTTAAATTTTGTTAATGGCGGGAGGGGGCTGGGAGCAATATCCCAGAAGATTGCGGAGCTGGAGGGAGTCAGAGGAGCGCAGGAGGGAGGGGAAGGGAGAGGGGTAGCAAGTGGTTTGCGAAAGAAATTGCCTTTGGAAGGGTGAGTCATGGGGAGACTGTGTCTGTTTCAGGACACCATCCAGCAGTTGGAAAATGAGCTTCGGGGCACAAAGTGGGAAATGGCCCGTCATTTGCGAGAATACCAGGATCTCCTCAACGTCAAGATGGCTCTGGATATTGAGATCGCTGCGTACAGGTATGGTGCTCACTGCGGACGTGACCGAAATACCGCACTGCGGAGGCTGTTTTGACAGAACCTTCTCCACTTCAGTAAAGCAAGCAGGTTTCAGGCGTCTTAAATCAGTGCCTGTTTGCCTTTTAATTAAAAAGAAATTATTCTAAAGAATTGCAAATGTGAATTTTCCACGTTTTATACAGCTTTAAAAGAGTAAGCATTAGTTGAAATTGATATGAATTACGGGAAGGGCTTGGGAGGAGCTCAGATTAATTTCAATGCTTATGCTTAAACTTTTTATTTTAGTGAAAAGTGTTTTGCGAATGTTTAAAGCAAAAACATGTTAGTATTTAATATTTACTAGTTTTAGTATTTAATATTTATCTAGTGGTTTCAGCTTCTCAATTTTACAGTGTCAAGGACAAACACCAACACATTCAATGTCTCTGTTTCTCTGTTACAGCTTACTATTGCCATCATCTGGCTGAGAATAGATATAGATTGATATATTAGAATATATGTGTGCATATATATAGCTATATAGATAATTTAGCTGTATTATAGTTTATCTTAGGCTGCATAATATAGATTATATGTCTATATATAGGTTGTGTATGATATATATCTACATATATTTAGATCTCAAGATATAAATTTATAGATATGTCATAATATAAATAAATTTACATCTATAGATGTAGATATAAAACCAGAGAAAGAGAGAGAAGAGATTATAGGTCTACTAACTGATATTGCCTTGCTGTTGATTAAGTTCACAGGAGAAAATAATTGACTCAACAGTGTTTCTACTACCAATAAGGCCATTATAATTTTATAAGAATAAAGTGAACCCACAGAGGTATCTTACTTTTCAGAAAAGCAGAATAATTACATTGAAAAACACTTCATGATTAAAACTGCAGATCAATTTATAACTTAATGCACCCAAATTAGTACTTAGCTATAGATAGATGAAGATAGATATAGAGCTATAGATATAGTAGATATAGCCTGAATTCTGATATATGCCAAATACATTTTTAACATTATATTTGCTGAAAGATATTTAGTATACATCCTGAAAGTTCCAATGCTCAGGAAGATCACTAAGATTTTTTTTGCCCACTACAGAGCTTTTCAACATATTCATGTTGCACCAAATGGACTGATGTAGCTCGGGGGACTTGGTGGCTGGGTCTGACTAGTAGGCCTTTGAGAGTGACTAGTTACTGCAGCAGGGGATTGGCTAGTGGCCCATGAGTATCTGTCACTGAATATGACAAAATATACCAATGAAATGATAGCAGGTATTACACCGACTTGATGGAATCCTTTATTTATGTGATTATTCTTACTCAGAGGTATCTACTGCATTCCCCATTATGCAATGAAGCTCAGAAGGCCCAATGTGATTTTAATTATGTCTTGTCTTCTTTGATTATCACCTTAGAAAACTGCTGGAAGGTGAAGAGACCAGATTTAGCACATTTTCAGGAAGCATCACTGGACCACTGTATACACACCGACAGCCCTCCATCACAATATCCAGTAAGATTCAGAAAACGAAGGTAGAGGCTCCCAAGCTAAAGGTCCAACACAAATTTGTCGAGGAGATCATCGAAGAAACCAAAGTGGAAGATGAGAAGTCAGAAATGGAAGAGGCCCTGACAGCCATTGCAGAGGAATTAGCAGTTTCTATGAAAGGAAAGGAGGAAGAAGAGGTGGAAGAAAAGGAAGAGGAACAAGAAGCTGACGAAGTGGTAGCAACTAAAAAGTCTCCAGTGAAAGCTACCGCACCTGAATTTAAAGGGGAGGAAGAAGGAGACAAGGAGGAAGAAGAGGAGGAGGAGGAGGAAGATGAGGGTGCTAAATCAGACCAAGCTGAAGAAGGGGGGTCTGAGAAGGAAGGTTCTAGTGAAAAAGAAGAAGATGAGCAGGAAGAAGGAGAGACAGAGGCAGAAGGTGAAGGAGAGGAAGTTGAAACTAAGGAAGAGAAGAAAACTGAGGAAAAGAGGGAAGAAGTAGTCACGAAGGTGGAGCTGGTGGCAGAAGCCAAGGTGGAAAAGCAGGAGAAGGCCAAGTCCCCCATGCCAAAATCGCCAGTGGAAGAGGTGAAGCCAAAACCATTAGCTGGAGCTGGGAAAGATGAGCCGAAAGGGGAAGAAGGGAAAGTGGAGGAAGGAAAGAAAGAAGCAGCAAAGGAAGCTCCTAAGGAGGAGAAGGTAGAGAAAAAGGAGGAGAAGGTAGAGAAAAAGGAGGAGAAGGTAGAGAAAAAGGAGGAGAAGCTGAAAGATGTGGTAGAGAAGAAGAAAGCTGCATCCCCGGTGAAGGAGGAAGTCATGCAGGAGGTGGTGACCATCACCAAATCAGTAAAGGTGAGCGTGGAGAAAGGTGCCAAAGAGGAGGAGAAGCCTGGGCAGCAGAAGGAGAAAGTGGAGGGAGGGAGCAAGGAGGAAGGCAGTGATCAAGGCTCAAAGGAATCCACCAAGGAAGACATAGCCATCAATGGGGAGGTGGAAGGAAAGGAGGAGGAAGAGCAGGAAACGAAGGAGAAAGGCAGTGGGGGAGGTGTTGTCACCAATGGCCTAGACTTAAGTCCAGCAGATGAAAAGAAGGGGGGTGATAAAAGTGAGGAAAAAGTGATGGTGACCAAAACGATAGAAAAAATCACCAGTGAAGGGGGAGATGGTGCTACCAAATATATCACTAAATCTGTCACTGTCACTCAAAAG